ATAACAATCTCACACAGGAAACAGCTATGTCCATGATTACGCCATGCTTGCATGCCTGCTGGTCGACTTTACAGGCTAGCCAGCTAGCCAGCTAGCTAACTAGCTGGCTAGTTGGCTAGATCGCCAAAGCACTCGCGCGCCCTAGCTAGCTAGCTAGCTAGCTAGCTCAGGCCAGCTACTGCTTTGGCCATCTAGCCAACTTGCCAGCTAGTTAGCTAGCTGGCTAGCTAGCTGGCTAGGAGCCGTTTGCTGTGAGGGTCGCTACAGCTAACCTGCAGCTAGCTGCAGCAGCTAGCTAGCTGGCGCGTCGCAGCTAGCTGTGAAGAGACTCGTGGCTAGCCAGCAGCTAGCCACTAAGAAGGCCGCAGCTAGCTGCTGCTGCGAATAGCTCGGAGACCCTCGCTAGCTGGACAATGACCGTCGCCAGCAGCAGCTAGCTGCTGCAGCTAGCTGCTGCAGCTAGCTGCTGCAGCTAGCTGTGGCTACCCGTAACTGGCCTTAGCTAACTGTAGCTAACTGTAGCTAGCTGTAGCTAGCCGTAGCTAGCTGCTAAACATGCACAGGCTGCAGCAAGCTAGCTTGGGTCTGTGGATAGGGTTTTGGGTGTAGGCTTTGTGGCCTCCCTGGCAGCAGCAGCAGCAGCAACAGCAGCGACAGCAGCAGCAGCAACAGCAGCAGAAAGCAGGAACGGCAGCACCTGCGTCAGCGCCATTTCCCGCTAGCAAAACAAAAATGCCAGTCTTTTCGCCAGTCATCCCTCAAAGCTGCTGTTGCTGCTGCTGCTGCTGCGGAGTGCTGCGGCCATTGCCGGCCTCCTGCATGCGCTTTTCAAGGCCACTTGGAAACTTCTCTGAAGTTTGGCAGCAGCAGCAAGCAGCTCAGCAGCAGCAGCTGCAGCAGACAAAAGCCAACCACCCACGGGCCTACAGTTTGTGCCGCTGCTGCTGCTGCAGCAACAGCAGCAACAGCAGAAGCTGGGAGCTCTCCGCCCCACCCACGGCCGTAGGAATAAGAAGCTGCAGCAGCTGCAGCAGCAACTGCAACGGCAGCAATGGCAGCAACTGCTGCTGCTGTATGTTTCATTTGCTGCTGCGTACCGCCTGCGGGCGGCAGGTCCCAAGAGAGCTTGTTCTTGCTTCTTCTTATTCTGCTGCTGCTGCTGCTGCTTCGTGCTGCTTTCGTGGCAGCTGCACGAGGGGAGCGCAGGGCTGCAGCAGAAGTCGCAGCTGCAGCAGCAGCCGCGGGGGGCTCCGGCTCCGCCACTGCAGCTGTTGCTGCTGGTGTTCTTGCTGCTGCTGCTGCTGCTGCCGTTGCTGCTGCTGCTGCAGACGCTTCGGGAATGGGAGCTACAGAATTTGACTTGTGTCTAGGCGTTTGGTGGCCTTCGCTTTGCTGCTGCTCCTTGGGCTGCTGCTGTTGCTGCTGCTTATCCTGCGGCTGCGGCTCGTCTTGCTGCTGCTGCTGCAGCTTATAGTCCTGTCTTTGTTGCTGTGGGCCATGATGGTTTTCCTTCGCCTCATCCTTTCGACGATGCTGTTGCGGTTGCTGCTGCGGCTGCTGCTGCTGCTGCGGCTGCTGCTGCTGCTGCGGCTGCTGCTGCTGCTGCTGCTGTGGCTGCTGCTGCTGCTGTTCACCAGGAGCAGCCTTCTCCACCGGCTTTGAGTGTGAAAGTGCTTGCTCCTGATCCTTCTGCTCTTGCTCCTTTTGCTGCTGCTGCTGCAGCTGCTGCTGACTTTGCTGCTGCAGCTGCTGCCGTTGCTGATTCTGCTGCTGCTGCAGCGGCGGCTTTTGCTGCTGCTGCGGCGGCTTTTGCTGCTGCTGCCGTTGCTGCTGCTTTGGCTCTTCTGGCTTGGAAGCAAACATCCTCTTGTAGGTATCAGCAGAAGTCTTTCGGTAGCTTTCCTTCTGCAGCAAATGCCCTAAACCCTAAACCCTAAACCCTAGGCCGGAAGCTCCGCAGTTTCAAAAGTGCAACAAAGACATGAAGATGCAGCAGCAGCAGCACGAGTAGCAGCATTAGCTGTTGAAACATTAGCAGCAGCAGCAGTAACTCCAGCAGCAGTAGCTGCAGCAGAAACAGCAGCAACAGCAGTAGCAGCAGCAATTGCAGCAGCAGTAGCAATAGCAGAAGCAGTAGCAGCAGCAATAGCAGCAGCAGCAGAAACAGCAGCAGCAGCAGCAGACCTTTTGCTGCAGCTTTTTGAGTGCGCTGAGCACTTGGGCGTTGGAAGGCTCCGCCTCAAGAGCAGCAATGAATGACTGCAGGCAAAAGCAAATAAATAAAAAATAAAAAAGCAGAAATAAATAATAAATAAATAAATAAATTTGTTGAAATGATATATTGGCCGGCAGCAGCAGCTTTAGAGCGCGGCAGCAGAAGAGAGGACTGGGCGCTGCAGCAGCAAAACCAGGCAGCAATAGCAGCAGCTGCTGCTGCTGTGTTTGCTGCAGCAGCGCGCTATGTGCGGCAGCAGGAGCAAAAGGGGCTCCTGCTAGCAACGAGAGCAGCAGCAGCAGCAGCAGCAGGCAGAAGAACTAGTGTGCTAGGAGGTGCAGTAACAGCAGCGGAAAAAGAGCAGCAGCAGCTGCAGTAACAGCAGCAGCAGCAGCAGCAGCAGCAGACCTGCT